ATCTGCTTTCCACACCAGGGCTGAGGGTAGGACAGTCATGCCAGGACCAGAGCAGCATGGACAGATCTGTAGGTGCATATACAGAGAACATTAGAGGCACAGGAGCCAAGGGCCTGTGAACATAATCCTCTACCACACCAAATAGTGGCCCAGGATTGAAAGATCATGATTTTCAATTTATAGGTAAAATTTCACATAAGTCCTTTTCAGTCAAGCCCTAAGAGATGGCTTTTGTTTCTTGAGAGTGCCAGAAGTTTATGCTGGCATCAGTCTCCTGAACCATAGCCATCTTATTAATTTCAGAACAATGGAAATCTCTATATGTAATCAATTGGAAAATCAGCTAAAGAAAAAAATAGATATGAGAATTCCAGGAGAATGCATATAGAGAAAGAAAGTAAGGAGTAATAGCTGTGAAAATTTCATTAATGAAAACCAAAGCTGAATTTTGATAGCAGTGAAGGAATACAGGGAAAATAATACAGACAAAAATTATTGAAGTGACTATTTGGCTTGCATTAACCTTCTCAATTGGGTTCCATTACTCTACATTATAGTAAGAAATACTAAATAGGAGTTCTTGTTAAATATCAGCACTTGGTGAATGAATTGAATTTATTGTAAAGGACATATTCTCCACTGTACAACTTTAGATTTAAATTGCAAACCTCACATTGGTGCTCTACTGCATTTGAATGTGAAGAGCAGCTGTACTGGGAAAACAACAAATCAATCTTCAAAACTGTGTCTCCTTAATATGTTGTATATGTGACTCCTATTTCCATTAAGTTATAGATTGTCCAGATATAGTAATGTGCAGTTATTTTTGGACTGTCCTCAGAATGAATTTTGAATAGCCCTCAAATCCAGGCCAGTTTTACACCTCAAAGTTGCACACACAGTAGAAAGGATCTGTAGTTGCAGGATATAACTGTGTTCAAATAGAACAAGACTAAGTGAAAGAGGACTCTTGGACCTTACAAAGAGACAGTCAAGGAAAGATCTTTTAGAAGTCTCTAAGCTCACAAATGCCACAGAGCAAGTGAATAGAGTATGGTTATGCAAGCCCTGAACCCAGAAAATGAAATTAACAGAGCTGTTTTAAAGCAAAAATAACTATCTACAGTTATTGGTGAGCAAAATGTTGCATCACTCATTGTTTCCAAGATGATGTAGGTAGTAAAATCCTGTCTCAGTTCAGAAAGCATTTATACTAGTTCATGGAGGAGAACTCCGAAGGACTTTTCAGTGCAAAGTTATAGTTTGTGTGTTCAGAAGTCTGTAAGCCATGGTTTGCTGGAAAAACAGAGGTATCTTGGGAAATTTTTGACTGAATATTTGCTGTCTTTCCATTTTTGCCTGCTATTTGCTACTGCCAAAGCAAGTTTCAGACTGCATGGATTATTAGTTAGAACCTCGCAGCCATTCTGATGCTGCTCTTCATCTTCTCTCATTAAGTCTTCCTTCTAATTATCTGTCCAATATGATATGGATGAAACACCAGCAAAAGTAGAAAATGTCTAAGTTGTCCAAGTAAGTTATGTATGGAATATGCTAATGCAGTAAAAAGAGTCCTACTGCCTAGTTGAAAACCTGTTTATTTTTTCTAATAATTCTGCATAAATTTAGATATCAGCCCTACCCTCATGCATTGCCATACTTTTGGCTTTAGGCATACATTATGCACAGCTTTATGTATTGGAAAAAAATTAAAAGAAGCAAAAGAATTTTTCCCTTGTTGAATTTGTAGAGGAGGAAATTCCAATGGTTTCTTCCGAGACTTTTCTACACAACTTAAAAGGCAAATTTTGAGACTGAGATTACAGACACTTAGACAGGTCATTGACATATAAAATCAAGTTGTCCTGATTGTTTAAAATTGTAAAAGCATTGTTCAGTCTCTAATAGAAATTTCAACACCTCAGAAAGAATTGTTTTATCTTTTGACTAGTCTAATTTTGTCACACATTTAAAAGCTCATCTTTCACTGAAGAGACTGCTTTCAACTGCACAACTTGCTCGTTTTTGCACAGGCACTATGGTGTAATTTGCTCCAGGCTTGTGCCTCAACCTTTGTTCTCCATGTGTCTATAGTCTTAATTATCCCATAAATTACTTTGAAATCCCCAGGCATAACCTTCCTATCCAAAGCGATATTTAGTTTTTATTTATTGCTGTAGGAGCAAAAATGAGGCTATGGAACGTGAGTAGGCACAAATTCCTGACCACACGTCCAGAAGAGGTTGAACAGCAATTATGTTCTATAGGTTGTCCTTCAAACCAGCACTGCCGTTTTCTTAAGTTCTTTAATCTAAGTCTTTGAGGTTAGGAATAGGTTTAATGTTGTCTTAACAGCAATAGGGACCATTGATCTCCTGTGATGTTATGTTTTGTCTTGTTTGGGATTGCCTTCACTTTCCATTGTTGTCTTTTAAGTGCTTATATACCTTAAACTTCAGTTCCCTACTATATCTATCTGTTGCCTGAACTGGTACTTTCTCAAACCACTGTTTCTCTAACTTGTTCAGAGCAAACCAGGTGTTTAAAGAAGAAACAGCAACTAATTTTCTTGTGCAACACTTCTTTTGCTAATAAATAGGCAGATGGAGAGATAGATAGATAGATACTCTTTCTTCACTACTAGACGAGAGAGTCTCTACCCTCTCACAAGATAATATGACTGTATGTATGACAATAAAGAGGTTTTTTGCTGGTGACTTCCAATATCAGGTTTTGAACTTGAACTCTGTCAGGCTTGGTGCTGTGACTGCTTCCCTCGGGAGCTTGTTCCAGTGCGCAACCGCCCTCTGGGTGAAGAACCTTTTTCTAATATCTAACCTAAACCTACCCTGACACAACTTCAGGCCATTCCCTCAAGTCCTGTCACTGGTTGGCAGAGAGAAGTTACTTGTTGGTATTTATGCAGTACTTGCATGATTTTAATAAGCAAGTAAGAAAATAAATATCTTCCCTCCTCACCGAAGCTACTTTGTGGTGGGAATTTTGTGCATGTTCCTTGGCAATATGTGTCTATAATTAATCCCAGCCCCAGTTGCAGTGTGAGTGAAGAGGTTAGTTTTGTCTGCTCTCAAAGGTGTTACATGGCATAGGAACTTGGTATATGAGGATGTTTCATCTGCTTACAGAAGAATTTGCAAATACTGCCCATGTTAGAATCCATAAGGAATATATCTTTTCTCAGGTCATTAAAATGTGTCTTTATAAGATAAATGAGTCTATATGTTTTGTCAAAGGTGCAATAGCTGATACATTGATTTTGACAGTACTGTGGTCCTATGCCAGATGGGGCTACATGTAGGTGAAAAGGTCCATTATAAAAGAACAATTTTCTCAAAACCTTTGAATGTCTTTCACCCCAAACAGGGTGTAGTTTCTGTCCTTAAGCAGAATAAATGTTGACTATCATATATTAGGTTTTCTCCCCCACCACCACCTTTGACATAAGAACATTAGAAAACTCCTATTGAGTAATCCCTTCTGGTCTGTCAAGCCCAGCAATATTTCCTCCTTATTGTCTCCAGCAATGGTAGAGGGAGATGCTATTTGAAGACCAAATGTATGAGTCCTGGCTGCCTGTTGCAGTCCATTTCTCCAATATCCAAAGTAAATGTATTAGGGATGGTGCCTACTGTATCACTGCTTAGTCGTTTTAGTATCCATATGTAGACCTACAGCCCTCAAATTTGTTAACCTCTGTTTGAACATGCTGACACTGTCTGTCTCCATAACTAGACTTTTCTGTTAGTGACGCGCAGAATAGATCTGCCTCTTGGGTATGGAAGTGCTTTCATTAATTGTGTTTTTAAATCTTCTATTAGTCTCATCAAGTTTCCCTACTTCTAGTGTTACAATTTTTTTTTAATAGCAGTTCAGCACAATGTTGGATATATGGGTAGGGCAAAATAGTTACCAATCTTCATTCTTCTGTGTTATTTTGTATTCTTTTAAAAGAAAAAAATGAGCCTTTGTTGTATTGTTTATAGGACTGGTACTGAACAGCGCATTTCATTGTGCCATCTGCAGTGCCAGTAAATCTTTTTCCTGACTGTTTAACTACATCAGGAGCCAGATTTTTATTCCAAAACAGACATGATAAGAAAATAAAATTTAAAAAATCTGTGTTGCAATTATAATTAAGGAGATAAAGTTAGGTTCACATTGACTGTAGTTTATCTTCTTTATTGCTCATTTTTCTGTTGTGAATCAAGCTATTGAGTAGAAATGTTAGTTTCTAGTTAGAATATAACATTTAAATTGCAGAGGGATTTAGAGGGAGAAAATCTTGCCGGCAACCTGTGTAGTATGTGAATGAAGCACTCAGATGGAGAATGGAAATTAAATGATGGCCTTCATAACGAACAGGAAATTAAGGCTATGGGTTCACTGTAGCAGGGAAGACTTCTCTTTAGGGTAGAGATCTGTCCCTGTTTAGACCATGAGACATCACTGTGGCAATATACCAGCTGTTAAAAAAGTAAATTGTTAGTGACCAAGCATTCAATATATTTGAAATTGGTTTTTTTAAACAATTTGTTGTCCGGAAATTAAGAGAAGGTGACATTGAGCACTTAGTTCTCTTCAAAAACATCTTATAGTCATCTCAGTTATTGATCCTCACTTCCTTTATGTTCCAAGAACAAAAACTGAGTATACTTAAAGAAGTAGAAACAGTGAAAAATTGATTTATTTCCTCTGTTGCACTTATATATATGTATAAAGATTTATATTTTAATTTTGATCACAGATATGGCAACACTGGTGATTTTTTAGCTATAGCAAATCTTACATATCTGATTTGAGCCACTTTAGCCAAAAGCCCTTTTGCCTGACTTCTTAGGATCAAATACATGTGGACTGAAACTTAACAGCTTTAAAAAATTTTTCTAACTTTCATCTTGCAATGGACATCACTTTTTTGTAGGAGTTCATAACTGTCTGAGAATGTGTGTGCTGAAAATTGTAATGCTCTCTTATTACAGCTTCTGCAAACAGGACAAGCTGCCCATTACATTCCAGTCCTGTGTGATCACGAAGGAGTGCCAGGTGTCAGAGTGGTCAGAATGGACTCCCTGCTCCAAAACCTGCTTTGACATGACAACCCCTAAAGGGAATCGTACAAGATCACGGATCATTAAACAGCTTCCTGTTGGCAGTGAAAGTGAATGCCCACAACTAGAAGAAACAGAACAGTGTGTTTCTCAAGGAGATGGTGTGGCACCATGCATTACGTAAGTTGGTTCATTTCAGTGCTCCCCGTACTAAAATGAACAATTTCAATTAAGCTTACAGGGCTGGTGATGGAATATCAAGCAAATCATTATTAAATAAATTATAGATATGATTTTACCTGGTTTTTATCCTGTGCTTATTCAGTGTTCTTCTTGAAAGCCCGAAGTCTGCAAATAGGTACTGTTATAGTGAAACCAGTTCCTTCTCTAAATACAGGAAAAATAATTCATTTTAGTTTTTGAAAGATAATATTTGTGAATATGCAGGCTCAGACAAGATGATAATAAATTAAT